TTTCCATTTCGGTAAACTGATATATTACAACGTTTACAATTGAATGATTATTATAAACTTCATTCAAGTTACTTCTAATATTAATAGAATTCGATGTAATCAATTTTCTATAATTAATGTATCGTCTAACTTACGATTTAAACACGCTTGGAAAATAAGTTTATTCATAATTAATAATTAGAAGTTAGTTTCCATGAGATATATACAACGTATAAATAGTAATTATTAGTAATTACAAGTCACCGTCTGTTTTATGACATTAAGTTCGATGTAACCATAATTAAAAATCGTACACGTTAAACTGCACTGTACAATTATTCAAAGAATAATTCTGGTTTTTGTTTTCTTTGTCAATGATTGCGGACGAGATTGAGGGAACATTACAGAATGAAAGATTCAGAAATGATCTACAGCATATCTAGAAGGCCTTCAAAGAAAAAGAGCATGCTCACGAATTAGGTCAACCTTATTTCCGACTAAATTGCTCCATCTGTTTCATTGCGGTGCGTCCGCACGGAATGTTTTTGGCAATTACAACGGCGCCTGTGTTTTGTCATAACTTTTTTCATTCGTGGGGGCCTGTCAACCGCGTTCTTTTTTTTGAACGCTCCAAAGCAATTGCTGCTGGATCCCACACGAATCAACAATATAGCTTCGCGTATATTACTGAAAACAACGAGAATTTTACTATATCTATTATTATCTTATTTATTATTTTATTATTATATTCTATCATTATCTTATTTATTCAGACGTAATACGACTTTTACTGTAGAATGTATCATGAATATAATAATCATAGTTTATTTAAAAATAATATTAGATACAAATAAAGATAATACCATAATTGGGGGGGGGGGGCAACATAGCTCACACAAATAGTGTCACAATTCTTCAAAGTGGTTGGACAAAAGTAATGATTTACGTTACGAATGTCTCTGCACCAAATCTATTCGTCTCTTTTTTAAATAACGTTATTTATAGTCACATAGATTAGAATTCATTGCCAGCTAACGTTTTAACATTTTTCTGATCAATGCAGACAGACTTTCATACAAACCTAACTCCAGTTCTTGCATATTAGGCATATGTTATGTACATAAAAACATATGTTACGTATATAAAAGTTATATAAATAATATTGCATATAATAAATCAACTAACGAAATATGTTCACCTTTGGCAATAATTGCCGAAAGAAAATACGCATGACTCTAGTCATTGCGAATCGAAGAAAAGTTTGTAAGGAGATAATCAAATTTCATTTCATACGATGATCCTTGCTAATGAAACGTCATCTCGCAAAAAGAACCTAGCAATAAAAAAAAGAAAAAAATAGACCCACCCATCGGAATAACAACTGCCATCGACCGCGTCGTCCTTCATTTCTCTATCCATTTTGACGTTTCGCGGCTCCAGGTAAATTATCGTGTCCCGTCCCGCAACCCCACAGGTAAAACGGCGTCCAGTTAGCGATCCGGGCAACCGATCATGTCGAATCATGATCTAAATCGCGAAAACCGTTGCCAGTGAGTTCTCCGTAGAGGATCGTCAGCGTCGTGCGACGTCTTCGACGAAGCATTCCCAGCGTCGCGAAGTCGTCGACTGTCTTGAAAACGAATCGACGGTCGTGCGATCTCGCTGTCTCTTGGCCAGTGGGAACATGAAATCGAAACTCGACCGTTTCTCCGCCGTCGACAGCACCGCAAAATTCGTCCACGTGTCGCAGACATCGGAACTCGGTCACCGTTACATCGCGTCGCCACGACGCCGAGTTGATCGCTGGCGATAATGAGTCAGTCAACGGCGCCCCATCAACCGTCAGGTTCGTTGGTTATTCTTTATTAACGGTCCTCCGATCCTTTCTGCACTCTTCGAAGCTCGTCGATCGTTTCGCAATGCTCGGAATCGCAGGAAAATAGCGTTGCAACGTTCCTTGCGCCGAAGATCGGGTAACGGTGACACTAATGTTTGTTAACCCCTTCCGTCGCGAACGTCGTTATTCAGGCATCGAACTCGGAACGAGGAGTAACATTCACTATTACACGTGAATGTTATTTGTTTCTTTCTAGTAGAAACAAGATTACGCTGCTTTTTATTTCTTTTGTGAAATTGACGAGATTATTATGGCAAGCTGAAGGAAATCGTACGCGAAGGGGTTAACGTAGACGTGTTCCTTACGTTTTACAAGTTTACATGCGTTGTTTGGTGCACAGTGATCTGTGATCAGTTTAATAATGATTCACCATCACACATTTTGTACGTTTCTTTCAATTAATTGTTGCGATCAATTCGCCAGGCTCTTCCGTGATTTCTTTTTTGCTGAAAACTGAGAACTTCGCTTTCTTTTACCCGAGAACTTTATTCGTCTGTAATCATAGCGCAGCATATGAAAAAGTATTGTGTAGAACTTTCAAAGTACAGCGAGATGTATTGGTAGATTCAAAAACATTAATGAATGGTGCTTGATTTTAAGGGTGTTGTTTTGTTTTTTGTAAATAGTTCGCGAAATTTAAGACAAATTGTGTAACACTGCAGTCTGTAGTTTTTACTGAGCTTTTTCGCGTACTATAATATATATATATATATATATATATATATATATATATATATATATAT